CAAGGCGGGAGGAGGAGGAGCTGCGATAAGTAGTCCCCCAAGGGTGGGCTTGTCCCCGGCTGGTGCGCCTGGCCCGGCTTTAACACAGAGCAGCAACCAGGTCGGCCCGGCCATGTCTGGCCGATAGCAACAACAACAATAACAATACAAACAATAACAACAACACGGATGGACAAGGGGGGCTGCTGACGCCGGCACAGGGCGGCGGCGCAGGTGAGCAAAATTCCCAGAGTCAGCTGCCGAGGTCGAGTGAGGAAGGAACCTGAACCACATGTACGGAGATGTGAGGGTTAAATAATCTACAGTGGGGAGGTCACTCGTGAAGCGAGGGCAGGGGCCAGGGGTATGCACTAGCCAATCGATTAAAACGCGTGTGGGCGGATTCGAATTGGTGCTGCGATTGATGTTGAAAAAGAAATGTAGGCTAGGCCTTATTTAGTAGGGGCTGAACATGGGATGCTCTTGGCGCTACCTCGAAAATGGCGATTTTTTTCGCCTCCTATCTCCGTATGCCTGCCCGCCGCCCCCCATATATTGTCCGAATGAAGGGCCGCCGTTGACCTAGGCCAGGCCTTTTCGGGACATTAGATACAAAACATAACTTCCCTTCTTGGCAAAAGAGCAAAAAGAGAACCTACCTTGCGCTCAGCACGCGTGACCCCTTACCACGTGCGGCCGGTGATCTGCCATTGGTCCAGGCCTCTCTCTCCCTTCCCCTCCTCGAACTAAAAAGGACCCTGATGATCAACGGCAGTGGCCCAGAACGAACCTGGCAAAGCACGAGCCTTTCCCCCTTGTTTTTTTCTTTTATTCATTCTAGATTTGCATCAAACGCCCGCCCGTGCAGAGCCGCAGCGGAAGCGTTCGACCATTTTAGATTGAGATCGACGGGCTGCTCCCCCTGGCGTCCGGCATCAACGTTTCAGGCCCCAACTTTGTTCCTTTCATTCGCCCCAGATTCGGGTTTTTGATTTCCATGGTACTGTATTCACATGACATTTGATTCTCCGTCTGCGGGCTGTCATGTTCCGCCTTTTTGCCACCCGTTTGACGGCTCCTCCTCCTCCCCCCCCCTGACTTCCTGAAAAGATCTTCAGGGCGGTGGGTAAAAAGAACAAGAATAAGCGGCTCCCACCCCGGCTCCAGCTGCTTAGTGTGCACTGCCACAACACCGCAGACTTGGTCGTGTGCGCATGTGTGGCACATAGGGCTAGATGAAAGTGGGCATGTGGGGAAGAGACAGGACTGCTGAGTCGGGACCTGGGGGACCCAGTAGGCTGTGCCAAAAAGTCCAGTTGCAATCCGCAATAATTTCGAGCAAGAAAGCACAGCCCCGCCGGCGGGGGGAGAGGGAGAGAGAGAGGATGGTGGGAATGTCGTCTAGTATGCCAGATACGATTCGCCACTGCTAGCTTTGCTGCATGCACTGCACCGCAAAAAAAAGACAAAGCCCGGAGTCCGACTGCCGAATGTTCATTTTTAGAAGCCCGAAAAAAAGAAAAAAAATATGGGGGACGGCGGGAAAGGGGGCGGCGAACGGCGGGCGCAGGGCGACGGACGGCCCGATTTCGAAAAGGAAAAAAAGAAGCCGGCCAAAGCTCTTGGTCGGTCTTCCGCACGGCCACCACAAACACAAACAAACCACCGCCCATCCACACACCCACCGGAAGGCCCGGACAGGCCGGAGTCTCAATTCTCTGCCAAGATTTTGTGCAATAGGAAACATAACCCCACACACACTTCACGCACTAACACCACAGGCACACTGCTTGCCCAACATTACCCACCTGTCATCTTGTTCTCGTGGCCGTCGAGCCAGGGCCGACAGCCCCCAAAAGTCAAAAGTGTCACGGCTTTAGAGGCACGAGATGAGAGTTTTCGCCAAGATGTATGATATTGGGCAACGCGCAAGCCTAAATAAGAAGGTATCTTCGGTAATTGCGACAACAGAAAAAGAAATCGCTGAGTAAAGGCTGAGTAAAAAAACAAAATCCCTCCCGTCTCGCTTTGCCAAAAACTCCTTGCAGAAACTCGTGCCATGTCCGATGCTCCCAATAAAACACAAGAAAGGAGGAGATGCATGATTACATGATGAATACCTTGTTTTACTACCAAAACGTATGAAAAAAAAAAAACGTAAAATCAGGGGTATCGTTGTGTCCGCCAGTGGTGCAGAGAATAGCCGAAATCACCAAATCGGAGCCATCAACGTCATTTCTTCGTTGGCGAGCGCGACAAGGACCAGCAGCGCGCAAAAGAGGGGTCAGGCACAGAAGGTCACCCAATTAGAAGCGCCCGACAGCCCGCAGCGCCATTTCCAAAACAGCCCCAAAGAAAAAAAAAGAAGCTAGGTAGTGTCAGTTGCCGACTGATAAAAGAGCTGTGGGTTCAGCAAAGAAAGGGAGAAAAAAAAAAAAAAAAAAAAAAAAGAGACTAGTGGCTCGAGTTGTGACGTGTGGCCGCCCACCAACCATGTGCGCCCCCTCCCCCAAATCAGGGCAACGCCGTGCGAACCTCCAGGCTAATCGCAACTGTGGCAGAGGCTTGGAATTCGGGTTTGGTGGTTGGTTCAGGTCCCGCCCGTCGGAATGGACCGAGATCAGGGATGTTGACAGGGCAAGAGCTAATGGGAGGAGTCGTCGTCGGTGCCGGATTTCCAAGTTTTTCCTCCTGGATGTTGGCCGTCAAAGGCTGAGCCGGAAATCCCGAATGCAACGGCCGTCCAGTCAACTGGAATGACACCGTGGGGCCCCTCGCATCCCACTCTCATGATTGTCGGCTCGTTGCCCGCCCCTCAGAGCGGTCGGTCTGGCCTCTTCTGCCGGGGTGGGTCGCCTGCCCTCATTCACCCATCATCCCTTTATCTTACGATTCCAAGGTCTGATCTGGGGATCGACAGGGTGGGTTGAGTGGTGATCAAATGTGAGCGACGGTTTCACAGCCCGACTGAGAAGGACCCCGGACGTCACCGACTGCCTTTGATTGGCAACGGTGCCAAATGTCCGCCCAAGAAAAACAGGATGCCAAGGGATCATGTCGGTGAGCCCTGGGATAGAGACGCAGCTTTGCAGCATTCCCCACGGCTCTACTGACCGTGCTGTAGCGATCAGTAGCGACACATGGATTGTGCGCTGTGGGGGTGGCTCTTTCCCTCCTCCCATGGCTGCCTCCGAGACGGTGTGTCTCACGATGGGACAATCTCGCCCCGCTTGGTGATGCGGGGTGGTTGACAAGAAAAACCGAGCGAGGCAGTCGGCTGTGCTGCGGGGACAGCGTCGTTCCGTAGCGCAATAACATGTTGCGTGCCGGTTGGGATGGCAGTCAAGGACCACGAGGACCTGGGTCCTCGGCCTGACATGACCCTGCCCTGTCGGTAGGTGTGCAGCTATGTGCGCGGTTGTTTGTCGTCCTGTTGCCCAACCCAACCCCCCTTACTGTTGCTTCAGGGGGGATAGATTTCCTCAAGAAACAAGAAGAATAGATGGTGTCTTGCCGTCTTGCAATGGAGAAAGAAAAAGGCATGGCAGCCGGTGCGCCAAATGTGTGGAGAGAAGTGAGCTCTCTTCTATGCTCCCTCGACACTCATTTGTAGCCAACCATCTTGGCGCAGCGGCTGCAGTAGTAGATGTTTGTGCCGATCTGGACCATGCCGCTGCTGCTGGCATCGTCGGTCGAGGTCATCTCGGCCGACTTTGCGCAGCGCATGCAGCGGATGACCTCGACGTAAACGATGGGGTGTGCCGTGCTGTCCATGCTGAAGCGCCCGGAGCCGGCTGACGAGGTGTACGAGCCGGACGAGGTGGAGAGGTCCGAGTCTGACGAGGTCGATGAGTACGTGTGCTTCTTTGACGGCCTGTGCGAGGATCGCGAGGACATATTTTCGTGGAGATTTGTTGCTGTTGCGGTTGTGGTCGAGAATGACGCGCGATGTCGAGATGATGACGGAGCTGGTCGGGTTGAGTCGTGGCGGACGAGGCGGGGGGCCTCGAATAACGTTGGCAGGAGCCTGCTTTCTATGAGACGAGCCGGCGGTGGGAGGAAACCAAGGCGGCCCGGGCTGTTCGGTAGGCGAGGGGCTCGGAAGCGGCGGCAGGAGAGTTCTAGATCCAAGAGGGCGCTGAACCACCAAGAGCGAGCAGGCGTGAGGTATGGTGGTGGAAGGCCGTGGTTTATTCTTGTAAGAAACCCGAACAAAGGCAAAGTCTGTCCAGGAAGGTCGGGAGGAGAGGGTTGATAATAAAAAGAAAAAGAGAAAGAAGAGGAAGAAGAAGAAAAGTGCTGAAAAGAGGGTCACTTTCTTATGATGAAGGTTGTTTCGACATGGAGGGCCCGTTGGGATGGGCGCGCAAGCAGAGGGCAGTTGAAAGGAGGCGGAGGGCCGTCTGGAATGCGTCCACTGCGTCCCACCCACGCACACATTCAACACGCCCACCACCACAGGCTGGCTAGTGGGGAGGGTGTTCATCGACGATGAGGCGTGCGCCTGCGCGGTCCCAGCCTTGGCCTGGGGCCAGGGGGAGTGCTCTGGGTGGGCGGACGGGGCATGGGGGGGAGGGGCGTGCAGAGGGAGGGCGTGGGTGTTTGGGTGCCAAGGGCCGCTCTTGCCCTGGCTAGCCCGTGGCAGACAGTTTTGCTCTCGCTGCCTAAAAAAGGTCGGGCTCCGTTCTGGCCACTTGGGCAAGGGCGATCCATGCAACTTTTACCTGTCTAGACGCAAATTCGCATTGCTGCATTCTCTTTTTCGCTGGGTGTTTCGTTTCAATTACCACCGATTGCTCCCCCCGATGCATCGCGATCCAGCTCCCCTCCCCAAGATTCGCACCATGTGTCCATGATGATACTAAGGATACTGCCTAGCCCGCCCGCCCGCTTAGCACTTCCTTCCCGTGTCGCTGCTTGATTACAGATGTGACGATGGTGGTTGCGGAGCATATTATGATCTGACCCAGGGCTATTGATTCCGTGGCCTTTGGTGGAGAGAGCAAAAAGGCAACCACCAGCCATGTTGCCAAACATGGCATGAAAGCGTGGCTGTTTGCGGTGCGGTGATGCCCCTGTGGGAGGTGTTGAGGGAGCCAAGGCGCTTGGACTGGAATTATATCGGCCGAATCTCCAACGCCTGTTCTCTTTCGAAAGAGGCCGAGACTAGCGGATGGTGGCTTGGGATGCCGCGCGCCTTTCTGTTGGCGGCACGCAAGGGAGGAGATTTGCCGGGTTTGCGTGTGGCGGTTTTGCCCAGGTGGCTTTTAACCAGCAGCGAGACGCCCATGGAACGGCATTCCAACCCAACCTCGCCCCTCTCTCTAGCAAGCGGCAAGGGGCCCAGATAGGAGGAAACAGTAGTTCCATTCCGATGGCCACCTTGCTCCGGCGAAATGCATCAAAGCGAGTCTTGGGTCTTTGTCTCTTGGGCCTTGTCTTTTCCGCGGCCTCCATCCATCCATCCATCCATCCATGCTGCGATCGTGCTGCCCTCCTCCGAGTTGATGGCACGGGCACGCGCGGCTTTGTGTTGTGCAATGCCCAGCACGGGGCTGCTTCAGGATCGCGATGGGCGCCGACTCGCTCGATCGGAATTCACCCGGTGTGCCAGCTGCGCCAGTGTGTTGTTCCCTTTTTGCCCCCTTGACCATGCAATTCATCCACTTTTTTTTTGCTTGCTGATCTCCCTCCGATCGATCAAATCGACGCGACGGCATGTAGCACAAGCGATGGATGCACATCGACTGGTCCGGTTTTTTTTTGGGAGGTATTTTTTTTTTAAAAAAAAAAATGGTTAATACCTCGGCCCTGTGCCATCCATCGAGATTGAGCGGTAGTCAGACGCCCAGTGCGTCGGATGCTACTTCATTGTTCAGTGTCTGTTCAGTGTCTGCGCAGCCCAATCGAGTTGTCTCGTCATTATGCCATGCCCCCATTATGCGAATACCTACCACACAGCATTTTATCAAAACGGTGTGTGGAACCTCGATAACGCTCCGTTTTCCAAAGTCTGGGTACCGTTTCAAAGCCCTCAGCTGGCGATAGGCAATCCCGCCAGGGCGACCCCCTACGTAATAGGACGTAATAGGACGTAATGGCACAGAGCAGCACTCCGCCAAGACGCTTGATTGTGTCCCGCGACACCTTCCTTTCCGCCAGCCTTTTTATGAGGGCATTACGTGCGTTTGGTAACATTTGGTAACGCAGGAGGTGGGCCTAGACGTGAGGGGGGGTGTTGGAGGAGTTCATTTTGCCAAGCGTCGGCTGGTAGCCCAGGGACGCGCCGGACCAAGACCGGGCAGAGTGAGCGCGCTGTTGGCGTGGGCCACTCGGCCGAGGTAGCTAGGAGAGAAAAACACTGATCGCGCACACAAATCCCGATCGCGAGCCCCAACTCTCAACTGCTCCATGACGGAAGGGGACAGAGGGGTGGCCGTCCCCGTCCCGACGTCTCTTTTCTTCTCTTTTCTTCTTCGGGGCAGGGGAACTACCTAGCTCCGGGAAGGGCTTGTCCGACCTGCTAGCGCGCGCATTTGGGCTCGTCCCGCCCGCGCCTGTCTTTTTGCTTCTACTTCTAACCACGTCTCGTGTTGGACAAGCCGGCCGCGACGGTTGCTGACGGAGGAGCTGTCTAGCGGTATCGACACTCCTGTCGCACCGCTGCTTTCAGGGCCCTCTTTCAGGGCCTCTCGCACAATGACAATGATCAATGACTAGCGCGCACGGCAAGTCTTTGAAAAGGCAAACCTGTGCGTACTTTCCCTCTGTGCGTGCGCCAATCTCGATGGCGGGTGCTGGGGTAAGCAGGATGGAGGCAGGTATGCATATAAGCGAATCTGGACATTGGCCCATGGGCATCCAGTTTCCCCCGCGCGCCGACGCTTGGCGGGTGGTGATGGTGTGACCCGAACTGCCGGCTCGTACGTTTGCAATGTGACAGATAGAGTTTGCCTGGTCAAGATTGAGATTAGAGCTCTGCCCAGCAGGCGAAATCATGTCATGGTGAGGGACATGACATACAGCACGTTGGATCTAATTACAGTGGTACGCCAACACAAAAAAAAAAGGAGACGGCAAAGGAACAACAATAGCGACAGTGTTTCTCCTTCTCGGGGGCGGGCTAGACTCGAAAACGCCATCTCCCTCCAAGTGCCGCATATGCACAGCAACCTTGATTTGCGGGGCCCTATCGCCGTTCGATCCGTGGGTAGCGTAGAGAATCAAGTGGATTGAGGACAGACAGCCAGAAAAAAAAGGCTTTTCCAGACGGACACTTGCACATGTCCAGACCAGTCTGGACCGCGGAGCAGGTGGCCCAGAGATGCAGCAAAGCTCTCCGGCCTCGGTCGCCAGCTTGTCACACGCTTCACTGGCTTTTTTTTTTCTTTTTCTTTTGTCTTCTCGGGGTCCCCACACTCTCATTTCCTGCACACAATCCCAGTCCATGTCGGCTTTGTCCTTATTCGTCCCCTTTTCCCACCCTCGTCGTCGTCGTCGCATTCGCACTCTGCAAGAAACCTGTGACTCATGTTCCCGTCCGTCGCCATTTCCGGTTCGGCATTGACCAACCAGACCAACGCCGAGGTTGGGTGCCCGAACTACCGCTGTCTCTGGGGGGAGGACCGACAGAAGCCCAAACGTTGCACAAGCTCCTCTTGACAGGTGCGGTCTGGGTCTGGGTTCTGGGGGTCTGGGTCTGGGAGAGGGAATGCTTCTACGGTGTTCTCACGGGACCTCCCGTTGGACACCTCCCGTTGGACACCTCCCGTTGGACACCTCCCGTTGGACACCTCCCGTTGGACAAGCAGGTTGGTTGACTAACAACGACGGAGAATCACCACCCTGGTCGGTGGGTCGCCCCCAGAAGGCCGGGTCTGGCCTGGCCTGGCCTTCTGGGCGGCAGTTGGACGTGGAACAGCAAAGAAAAGGAAGAAGAAAAAAAAAAAAAGGACCTGATGCGCTGCTGTCGGTGTGAACAGCACACACACACACATGCGATATGTACACCGACTGTTACATGTCCTTTTTTCTCACAGCACTTGACCTGGGCAAAGGAGTCACCAAATCAGGGTGGGGTGGACGGACGAGGGCATGGATCAGGGTACAGGTGTCCAGGATCTAGTGCGGTGGAGCTTGGTGGTACATCAGTTTGGCTTGGTTTTCTAAGAAAGAAAATGTATCTTGCTCCACCGCACTAGTGTTTGTGATCCTGGACACCTATAGATTCTGGCCTTTTGTGCTCGCCCATTGCTGATGCGTCAGTGTCTCGGCGCCCGGCACTTTTCGACTGCGCCTGTCTGCCTGCACAACCCGTCCGACCCAAGATATGCCCGTTTAGGTGCATACGCGTCATGGTTGGTTGGTCTGTCTGTATGTGACCCCAACAGCAGGTCCGACCATGTGATTTAGGGTCAGGCACATCTCGTCAAAGTTTCAAACCTCCTTTCTGGTGCGTCAGCAGGCCGGGGCGAGCCACTAGGCTTTTGGTCCGCCTTCTCTGGTCCAACTTGGCGCAGATGCGTCTTCGAGACGAAAAAAAAAAAAGATTGGTCTAGACCGCGGGGCCGGATGGAGGACGGGAATGGAAGTTCTGGACCGCCGATCCCAAGCGTCAACCCGAGCGGATATGGCGGAAAGAATAGCACGCATTTGGTGGTCTGGAATTGGCCCGACCTTTTTATTTTGTCCCTTTTTGTTTTCCCTCTCTCCTTTTTGCGGCCCGTCTTTTCTTGGTGCCGTGTTTCTGGTCCAAAATGGGGTTATCAAAGACTACTAAAGAAAGAAGCAACAGGATCGATAGGGGAAACCTCGCGTATGTGCTTAGAGCGCAACTTGCTGGGCCTTGGTAAGCACGGAGCACAACATGATGCGACGCGCGGTTCAAACTTCCTCCCCTCGGAGCCATCAGCACCGCCTCTTCCCACCGGGCAGCTTTAAGCTATTCCCGAATGCTACCTATTCCTCTTGCGCCCAACCCAAATGCTACGGATGCAAGGGTGCGACGTGGAGCTTCATCCAGACGCCCCCCAAGATTCCATATGGTGACCCTGTCCTAATTTTTGCGACTTGCACGTTTCCCCATGAAATTGCGTGCCCTCCTCTCTGGATATCCCCCCGGAGGAGCAACCCACACCTTACAGTACCACCTTACAGTACTGCATGCCGTGCTCCCTTGCGGCTTGATACCAACTCGCCGTGCCCGAGCCACCGTCCTGCCTGGCCCGGACAACAACGCGTCGTCCAAACCTACGTTCCCATCCGAAGAAGCCGGGTATCGCCAACATCACCAGACACTGGAGTCACCAGACACTGGAGCCCATCGTGTCCATCACGCAAGAAAGCCTTTTCCTTTGTCAGGCACAGGGAGTCAATCATGGTTCGCTGGCAGCTTGTCTGACTCACACGCCTCGGTCCAAGGAGCTTGCCTGCAGTAGCTTTGAGAGACTATTATAGATTACTGTGTATAGGGAGAGCCACCCGCACAATCCCCCTGTCTGGCAGCACCATGTCCATTGGCATCTTTCGTGTGTGTGTGTGTGTGTGTGTGTGTGTGTGTGTGTGTGTGTGTGTGTGTGTGTGTGTGTGTGTGGCACCCTGCGAGGCACCGGTGCATCTTGTCCAATATAGATAGCCTCCTTCAGTCTCGTGGCGGTGACCTGCGCTAGTCTGGACCCTTGAAGCGTCCCGCCGTCGCCAACATGGTATCCACCCGGCCGCGACTGTAAAAACCCAAAATGAAAGGCTCTCCGCAACCTCCCACCTTACCCCCAGATATGCTACCCTCTCATGCCGGTTTATTTGACCAGAACGAGCCAGTGCGCCGCGGCGGAAAGTCAAAAACAAGTGCGATC